TGTGCTTTTGTCACCAGAAGGAGAGCGAGTGAGGGGACATCAGGGTGACCCAGACACAAAGGTCCCTGCAGGGAGGGCTCAGGCCACCAGGGGACACCCAGGGCCATGAGGAAACCAGAGGACCCGGTTCAGAGCAGGTGCAGAAGCAGCCATGGATAGGTTCCCTCCCAGAGACGGAGGAGTCTCCGCTGGTTCACTGTCTCCCCTGGGTGCCGATCCATAATGTTTCCAGGGAAACTTTCTGATCTGAACTTGGGCCTTTTTCACGGAGTCAGGCTTGTCTGTTTTATTCCTCATCTAACTTAGGAACAGACTCACAGAAATATTTCTCCATGGGACTTCACTTGATATTTATCCACTAACTATACTTTCTAGTCATCAACTTTACAGATACTTAATGACACAGACGATTCTTCTGTGCATCCTTGAGTTTACCTTCCACCCTTGGTGTATTTCCAGGCATTTCATCCTTGAGAGGTTCCCCAGGCCTTTTTCCTGCCATGCCTTTCCCTAGAATAGCATAAGGAATGTTGTATATTTGGAAAATGATGTCTGTGAGACACTGGAGTCATTTTGTCCCCCAGAGGACATGTGGAAATGTCTGGAGACAGGTTGGGCTGTCACATGTGGGGTGGACTGCAGGCGCCCAGTTCCCTAGTGGGCAGAGTCCCTCAAAGGTGCTCAACACTCCACAACGCACACGGCCTCTCCCACAGCAAGAAACAGCCTCAAATGTCAATAATGTTGTAAAGCTGTGACAGAATGCTGTACATCCAGGCAAATTCATACCACTGTTGACACGCAGAAGATGAATCTGCTGTATGTAAGTTATTCTCACTAAATGAAAAAGACAGACAGACAGACACCAGACTTAGCCTTCGGTTCACTCAGAGTCCCCATTACACACTATTCACACAGGTCTCTAGGTCTGTGGGCAGAAGGGCCCGGAGCAGGGTCCTACAAGCAGACGGGGCAGCAGAGCAGGGACCCAGGACTGGGGAGGGGGCCCATGGCTCTGCTTCACTGAGTCCCCAGAAACAAGACAGGGCCCAGGCTGGACGTCATTGTTTCAACATTTACAACTTCCTACCTGTAATTGTATCAATCTTAATATTTGCA